CGCCCCCGCGGACAGACAGGCCTGTGGAACCGCTCACACCTCACCCCCCCGGCCCCGCGGACAGACAGGCCTGTGGAACCGCTCACACCTCACCGCCCCCGCGGACAGACAGGCCTGTGGAACCGCTCACACCTCACCCCCCCGGCCCCGCGGACAGACAGGCCTGTGGAACCGCTCACACCTCATCGCTCCGGGCCTTGCGGACAGACAGGCCTGTGGAACCGCTCACACCTCACCGCTCCGGGCCTTGCGGACAGATAGGCCTGTGGAACCACTCACACCTCACCCCCCCGGCCCCGCGGACAGACAGAGGCCGGTGGAACCGCTCACACCTCACCGCCCTGGGCCCCGCGGACAGACAGAGCTACCTGCATTCGCTTCCTCTCCTCATCCAAACTCCAGAGAGCAATGATCACAGAAAAGAACTTCCCCCCAAAACACTTAGCATAATGTCTTTCAATAGTAGGTGATCAAAAAACGTTTGTTTTTTTCTATTAAAAGTGACACAAGCTCATTCTAGAAAACTAAATATAGAGAAATATAAAGAAAATAAAGACAGCCAAAATTCCACCAGAGATTACTGTGTCACTATTTTGCTAAACAGATGAACTATGGCATATCTATAAACGGATACACATAGCAATGTGCTTTTCTGTTACTTATCATTTTCATGTTTCCATGGCACTAAACATATACAGCTAGCCCTCAATAGCCATGGGTTCTTCATCCAAAGATTCAACAAACCACAGATCAAAAATATTCAGAAATAAGTAAAACAATTCTTAAAAATACAAATTTTTTTAAAAAAATAGTTAACAACTATTTACATATCATTTTATTTATTTATTTACTTATTTATTGAGACAGAGTCTCGCTCTGTCACCCAGGCTGGAGTGCAGTGGCGCAATCTCGGCTCACTGCAAGCTCCGCCTCCCAGGTTCAGGTCATTCTCCTGCCTCAAGACTCCCGAGTAGCTGGGACTACAGGCACCCGCCGCCACACCCAGCTAATTTTTTGTATTTTCAGTAGGGATGGAGTTTCACTGTGTTAGCCAGGATGGTCTTGATCTCCTGACCTTGTGATCCACCCACCTCAGCCTCCCAAAGTGCTGGGATTACAGGTGTGAGCCACCACACCCGGCCTACATATCACTTATATTTTTAAAGTATTTGGGAGAATGTGCATAGGTTATATGCATATACTACACCATTTTATAGAAAGGCCTTAAGCATTAGTGAATTCTGGTATAACTGGGGGTCTAGGAACTCATCCACATGGATACTGAGGGAAGACTCTATTATGTACCATCATTTTGAATGGCACCAAGATATTACACTGTATGGATACACAATGTAAGAATGGGTATTTTGGTGTCTACAGTTTATCAACATAAAAACAATACCAAAAAGGAGGCCATAACGACATTGCTGAATACATTATTTACTTATTTTTTTGAGACAAGGTCTCACTCTGTCGCCCAGGCTGGAGTGCAGTGGCACAATTGCACTCCGCACACACTGCAACCTCTGCCTCCCAGGTTCAAGCGATTCTCCTGCCTCAGCCTCCCAAGTAGCTAGGATTACCGGCATGGGCCACCACTATGTCCCGCTAACTTTTGCTTTGTTTTTTTTCTTTTTTTGAGACAGAGTCTCCCTCTGTCCCCAGGCTGGAGTGCAGTGGTGCGATCTTGGCTCACTGCAAGCTCCACCTCCCGGGTTCACGCCATTCTTCTGCCTCAGCCTCCCGAGTAGCTGGGACTACAGGTGTCCGCCACCATGACCGGCAAACTTTTTGTATTTTTAATAGAGATGCAGTTTCACCATCTTGGCCAAGCTGGTCTCGATCTCCTGACCTCGTGATCTGCCCACCTCAGCCTCCCAAAGTGCTGGGAGTAGTCATGAGCCACCATGCCTGGCTGGTGAACATATTATCTTTACATGCCTCTTCGTGTGATAAAGTCCCACAGAATGACTTGCTGTATCAAAGTATATAAACACATACCTACATGTATGAATTTCAAAGTCCGTCTCATTTCTTCAGACGCTTATCAGATGGCTACACCAACTGAAATTCCCAGCAGCAGCGTGTTCATGGAGTGCTGCTTCATGTGCATCTGAAGAACCAGCGTAGGTTCTTCTTGTTACAATACAGGTTCTGTTTCTATGGTCTGGGGTGCAGCCTGGGAGTCTGCATTTCTAACACATACCCGTGTGCCATCAATTTTGCTGACCCATGCACCAAACTTTAAAGAAGGCATGAAAATACCTTTTTCCCTCCCCACCCACCAGATGCCCTCTGTCTTGTCTTATAAGATGACGATGACAATTTTATCCACAGTTGGTGGTTGCTAGGCAGGCCACTTGTCTTTCTTGTATATTTATAAGCCATCTATGTCCTTTTTTATGAACTGATTGTTCACATCCTTTGTCTACTTTCTACTGCCTTTCTTATAAAGCTTTAAGAACTTTTTAAAAAGATACCTGCATGAACAGTTCCAGTTTCCTGAACAGCTGGCTGAGACAGGATCTGCCGCAGTTTATCCTGGTGGGAGAGCAGCGCCCGACCTGCTTTCAGGATGTATAGCTTCAACTGCTGGCACCGCAGCAGGTCCAGGTCCACTTGTCCTGTGGAAGGAGAGATTCAGTGAGAAGGGCGTGCCCTGCTCAGACTCCCTCAGTAAACCTCCGCTACGTGGCAGTGAGTAACATTCTGCCCTTCAGGAATCCGCCCACCACACACTGTCTGTGACAACGGGCTCGCCTTTCCCAGTGTTACACTCGGCGCTTCTGGGTAAGCACCTTCTGCTTCCTGGGTCTTCCTTCCCTGCTCTCCAGGCACCTAACTTGATGGGACGCAGGATTCAATGGTTATACACAGCACCATGTTAGCTACTATTAATATGAGCAAATGTTCCCCAAGTTGCTGAAGTTTCAGCCGCTTTCACTCTTCTTCTAAGACTCCTCTGAGAGAATCTGTCGGCTCTACTAGCTCTTTAACTGACGAAGATCGCAGCAATGCCCAAGGCTTATCTGATAGCAGACGCCACAGAAGCAGCACAGAGAGCATGGGGTGGGAAGGAAACAGGGCCACAGGTGCCACTCGGGCACTGGCTCGACTTAACTGGCAGACAGGTTTATTCACCACAATGGGAAATGGCAGCTACTAGAGAAGGTCAGCTGAATTTCGGACGTGCTGCGATTTACATGCACTGCACCTCCAAGCAGAGATGTGAATGGGAGATCCAGAGTTGAAAGTGCTTACATCATAAATGCTAAAGCAGCAATCGTAGGTCTGTGGGAGCAAGAGGGGAGAAAACTCAAGAAGGGTGGGCAGAACATGCCACAGTTATGGGTGAAGCCACGAGAACGTCCAGGATATAAAGAACAAGCAGAGAGAAGAACTCCCTAGGAACACAGAAAGAAACTCGGGAGAGCTGCATTCTAGACCCAAAGGAAGGCAGAGCCAAGCAAGGCTACAGTCTCAGCCACTCTGAATGCCACAAGCAAGCCAGGTGGCTTCCAGGACAGAGGCCCCTGGATCTGGCAGGGAACAGGCCATGAGCCATGGTCCAACAGGGTGACTGGGCCACAGGGCCCTGGGATGGAGGGGAGGAGAGAAGAGGTGAACACAGACTTTTCTTCTGGGATAAAGGGTGACACTGAGAAGAGGGTGTGAGCCATGGGGTTCTTTAAGTGTGGCTCCGAGCATGGTGACGAAGGCTGACTTGAAAACAGTCATTACCACGAACACAGGGTTACACTCCCAACTGCAACTCAACAAATGGTGAGCCCACGTGAACCCCAGGACTTTAGCAGGCCCGTGAACTCACTCGTGAAAGAACACTGTACAAACAACATGAATTTAAGACGGCAGCTATTTCATCAAGCAGCACCATGTACTGACCTGTAAAGGCCTGTTTAGTAGATTTCTTTATTTTGTGCTTTTCTAACTTGCTTCCAGCGAGGTTCACCAACTGAGCCCAGACAGACAGCATGGGCTCTGTGAAGGGCAGGTTGTTTACATTAAAGGCCACAGCAGGGAGCTGGAGAGGACACAGAAGCTGTCAGCATGCGGCCAATATGACTAACAAATGAAACGTTCTGAAAGTCATCAAAACCATGGGCTTAATCCTGAAATGCCACACATACCCATAAGCCTTTTTAGAGCTGAGAATAATCATTTTTTAAAATGATATTAAAGGCAAGATACAGACTTACACATATAGTAAGTATAATCTACATTAATTTTTCTTTACAAATCTGTCAACAATAATTACATCAGTATGGTGGTTACTATCTTCTCAGGTATTTTCTATATACTTCAAGTTTTCTACAACATGTATATATTCCTATAAAAATAAAAAAGAGTACTTTATAGAAAATATAGTCAGGCCAGGCACAGTGGCTCACACCTGTAATCCCAGCACTTTGGGAGCCCAAGGCGGGCAGATCACCTGAGGTCAGGAGTTTGAGACCAGCCCGGCCAACATAGTGACACCCTGTCTCTACTAAAAATACAAAATTAGCCAGGCGTGGTGGCACATACCGTAATCCCAGCTACTCAGGAGGCTGAGGCAGGAGAATTGCCTGAACCTGGGAGGCAAAGGTTGCAGAGAGCCGACAAGATCGTGCCATTGCACCCCAGCCTGTGACAAGAGCAAGACTCTATCTCAAAAAAAAAAAAAAAAAAAAAAAAAGAAAAAGATATAGTAAGATTGCACTTGGGCTACATGAAAATAATGTAAATGGCTCCTTCTCTCTGTGCATCCCTGATTCACAGGTTGACAGTAGCTGCTACATTGTCATGTCACTCAAAACAACTATGCATTTTCTACATGAAGAAAGGTTTTTTTTTTTTTAAGGAAACATGTTTAAGTTTTTTTAAAACTTGAGTTGTTCAATAAAAAGTGAACTTCATAAATTCACATTTTAAAATAATTAGAACTACCTCATAGATGCACGGTACCTTCTAGGTTGCTAAAGCCCTTGTGTCTCTGAGGCTGAAACACACGCGAACCACTGCTTTAGGTGCCCTGTGAGACAGGCCCTGCTTACCACAGAAGCGCAAGCTCACATAGCTTCCTGGAAGGCAAACTTGAAGTACCAGAATCAAGTTCTTTCAAATGCTAGTGCTGGTGCCCGGTTCTAGCGTAAAGCTGAATCCCCTCATCGTACAGTAACCGAGCACAAGTTCACCTACTGGTTTCAGCTGACTCAGTGGGCACACGCGACACGTCCGCATGTCGGAGAACTGCACGGTGATTCTGCCCTTCGGGGTGATGCGAGTCACGGTGCCTTCTCCAAACTCATCGTGCACAACTTGGCCGCCCAGGCGCAGGCGACCATCGATGCCTCCAATCACAGCCAGGACCGCCATGAGGCCCCCCACTTCAGGGTTCTCGGAGTCGGGGAAGTAGTCCTCTAGCTGGGCCTAGTGCAGACCAAACAGCGAGCTCGACCAGGGACACGCACGGGGCTGCCCAATCCCTACGGGTTTACCATTCAACTAAATTAATTCTGAGCGCACAAACCCACCCCTTCGGAAGGCCTTCCTGCAAAGCTGTGGGTGACGCAGCGGAGCTGGGAGTTGATGTACTTGTTGATGAGCCCGTTCCACTGAGTCAGCGAGTGCAGCGTGCGCAGCAGCGCCACCACCTCCTCCGCCAGTGTGCTGCTGTGCGTGGCGGTCAGCGAGGCCTGCGGGCGCGCCCTGCGCCGCCTGGGCGTGGACTCTGCGGAGGAAACAAGGGGAGGAGCTGCTGCGCCGCTCTTCACCAGGGCACGGGGAAGGGAGACAGTCACCCACCTCTGAGTAACGGCACGTCGGAAGAGCAGGTAGTGAGCAAGCTCCCCAAGAAGCCAAACAGCTTCTCCACAAGGCACTTCATGTCCCTCGCCCTTTCGGTCTTGTCCCATGACGGAAGGACTGCTTGCAATAAATGCACAGCTAAGATCTGATAAAAGACAATTTAAAACGACAAGCATTAAAAAAAAATCTGATTAAGAAACTACAGATTGTTATTTTCTCTTTACCTTTTTTTTTCTTGAGACAGAGTCTCGCCCTGTCGCCTGGGCTGGAGTGCAGTGGCACGATCTCAGCTCACTACAACCCATGCCTCCCAGGTTCAAGCAATTCTCCTTGCTTCAGCTTCCCAAGTAGCTGAGATTACAGGCACCCACCACCAAGCCCAGCTCACTTTTTTTGTATTTTTAGTAGAGAGAGGATTTCACTGTGTTGGCCAGGCTGATCTCAAACTCTTGACCTCGTGATACACCTGCCTCGGCCTCCCAAAGTGCTGGGATTATAGGCATGAGCCACTGTGCCCGGCCTCTCTTTATTTTCTGTTCTCATAATGCAAGCAATCATGTGAAAATTTTGAGATTCATTATTTTACAGCCAGGTAATTACACTCAAGTTGATTAGTGATTAGGATTGTCAGGGACTTTAGAAAAAAGCAACATTACAGATGCATGTGTTTAATTAAAAAAGAATTATTTTTAGTTTAATTCTTAAGACAATTACACTACAAATTCTGTGAAGCAGATGAGTGCGTAGTTGCAGGATTTACCACTGAAGAGAAAAGCAGGTAAGCTAAACGTTAGTGACTTACCAATTATCAAGGACCTCTGCCCCTTGCCTCCAGAAAATCTACCCTGTCACTTCTAGACCCTTTCTGTACTCGTTACTGAATAAAGGCCCCTGACTCTGAGGGCAGCGAACTTCAGTACATGGATGCCTCTCTCAGGGAACTGGTTTTGCCTGGCAGCACATTACCTGCCTCTGCAGCGAGGCGGCAGTGAAGGGTGCATGCCCTTCCACGACCTTCATGAGCAGCGTGATCCACTGCGGGGAGCTGAGGGCGCCGCACACTTGCGGCGTGAGAGCGATGCTCCGCACAAACCCCAGCGTGCACCAGCTCCGGTGCTGCTCCCTGCACACCAGCCTGTTTGGAGAAGCTGCAGGAGGGAAAACAGACATGCTTGGTAACAAGTCCCTAAAGATAAATCCCTAAATGTAAATCCTTGTTTTTTAATCAACTTATTATTTTATTTTCTACAGTAAGCTCCTTTACAAATATATTGCAGTTTGTAAATTAATTCAAATTCAAAGTGAGAAGTGGAAGACGACTTTTAAGTTAGTTCAAGAAACATTTCTGAATTTTTCTTTTTTTTTTTTTAGAGATGGGCTCTCACTATGTTGCCCAGGTTGGTCTAAAACTCCTGGGCTCTAGTGATCCTCCTGCCTCGCCCTCCCGAATAGCTGGGACTACAGGCATTTTTAAAACCTTCTAAGTATGTGTAGTAAAAGTAGTTAGGGAATTTTAGCTATGTATCGTTTCTAGGCAACAGGAAAATGATCTATAATTCAAATAGCAGTTAATTTGCAAGAGTGCATCTATTGTATTTTTTCATTTCGTTTTAAATATCTCCACAATCTTGCTTATATTTAATCTGCACCGTAAGTTTCCAATCTAACTTTACTATATCTGCATTAACAAAAGGAAAGGTTTTCACTAGGTTTACACCATTGGATTGTGGCACAAGTGGGCCCACCTCTGCTCCGCCTGGCTCCAGGACTCCACTACTCCCTGAACGGAGGCTGAGGCTTGGAGGCTGGGCCCTCCTGAGGGACCCCACCCACAGCCCCACAGGACCTGCTCTCGCCTCCCACCTCCCCACCCTGCCCTCAGCTATCCAAGCCTGTGAGGATACCTGCCTTCCTTCAGCACACTCGTATGCGCTCACACACACTCTCACACCCTCATATGCATCCTCATACTCACACCCATACGAAGTTATTCAGACACACCCATGGGCATCCACACACCCACCCTCACACTCTCAGGTGCACTCACACCACTGTCGCAATCACTAACACACACACAACCCCAGTCACACATATGCACACACAACCTAAGATGCAAGCTGACACACACTCCTATGCACTCTCACATACACTTACCCCTCCCAATGCATACAGAAACTCAGATGCACTCACACTCCTAAACACTAGTCACAACCGATTACTCACCCACTCACACCTGTACCCACACACTTGCTCACTTGACACTCACACCTACACTGTTACAACCTCCCACTCACTGACAGAAGCAAAATGCTCACATTCATGCACACGCACTCACAATAACACGTCACTCGTGCTCACACTGACACAAGGCATTCACATTTACACAAATGCTCACCCTCAATCGCACACTTACACTTGTGCCTGCCACCCACTCATACTTCCTCACACTCACCAAGCCTCACTTACACTTCGTCTCATTCACACACCCAGTAATCCCCTCACACTCATGCCTCCCTCGTGCTCACCCTCACACACACACTGGCTCAATGCACTGGCGCTCTCACTCCCACTTCACCTGCCCACTCACATGCTCTCATGGACACACACACACCACTCACATAAATGCATGCATACATATACACACACAACCACACACTACAAACACACCGCCACACTTGCAACACACATGCTCAGCCACTTGCCCATCAACCGCTAAGACACTCACTCTCATCAATAAGTGCGGACACTCTGGCACACCACTAATACACGCATGCTCTCACACAACCTCACACACACTGGAGCATGCCTACATCCTCACCCACACTCACAGGGGCTGTCAGTCACATGCACATTTACCCCACTCCCTCAGTTCACATTTCTCATACTTACACTCCACACACAAACACTTTACGGATTAAACTGTGCCTGTCCCCCAACTTCACATACACTCAGAACCTCAGAATATGATCTTATTTAATGAGGTCTCTGTAGACCTCATTAAGGTAAGAATTTACGTGACATCATGCTGGATTAGAGTCAAACTCAATGAAAGAGTCCTTTCAGAGGCAGAAAAGGACATGCAGAACACAGGGGCAGGGGCCATGTGAAGACGCAGGCAGACACTGGCACAATGCGTCCCCACACCAAGGAAGCCTGGAGCTCCCAGAAGCTGGACAAGGTAAGGAAGGACCTTCCCTTAGAGCCTGTGGAGGGAGCATGGCCCTACCCGCACCTGGATTTGGGACCTCTGGACTCCAGAACTATGAGAGAACAAATCTGTTGTTTGAAACCAGTGTTGTGGGTTGAATTCAGAATTGCAAAATTCACATGTTGAAGTCCAAACCCCTACAGTACCTCGGCAGGTGACCTTGTTTGGAAATAGGGTCGCTGCAGATGTACTTAGTTTGATGAGACTGAATGATGTCCTTATGAAAAGAGGAGATTTGGAGGCGACTCACACACAGGGAGAATGCCATGTGAAGATGACGGCAGAGATCGGGGTGACACCTCTACAAGCCAAAGAACGCTAAAGAGACCAGCAAACTCCACAAGCTGGGGCAGAGCCCTGAAGCAGCTTCTCCCTCACAGCCCCAGAAGGAACCACCCTTGATCTCAGGCTTCCGGCCTCCAGAACCGTGAGAACTACTGCTGTGTAAGCCCCCAGGTCTGCAGTACTTTATTACAGCAGCCACAGGAAACAAATCCACACACATTCACACCCACCCACACTGACACCCAGACACGACAAGCGTGCGGCCCCCAGCGCTGACTCCCTGGGCCCTCAGTCTCTCATTCCATACATGTCTTGTCCGTCGTTCCGCTTTCCACTAACATTCGCAGCAGTCCGCACAAAGTCTTGGTGGCTTCGCTCTGCATGATCTCGGCATGAACTCCGGCAGACAGACAAAGAGTCTGCAGTAAGTTAATAGTGCTGGTAAACATCATCGCAGTGGGGTGAATGTTCCTTTCAGTTTGTTCGGCTTCTAAAAAAAAAATCAAAATAACAAATTATATTCCCAGGTAAAACTGGAAGATAGTCTTGCACATAATTTAATAGCTTTAATATTACATTCTTGTTTTCTTGAAGACTTGAATTTTAGTGCAGTTTTAGGTTCACGCAAAATTAAAAGCACAGAGATTTTTGCGTTCTTTTTTTTCTTTGAGACAGGGTCTCTCTGCTGGAGTGCAATGGCACGATCATAGCTCACTGCAGCTTTGACCTCCTCCCCTGGGTCAAACAGTCCTCCCACCTTGACCTCCCAAACTGTCATCTTTTCTGCTTTGGAAAGGGAAACAGATCTTTACAAGAAAAGATGGAACTCAGGATGCACTAACCGTGCACCCTAATATTTCTGTTCCCATCTTCCTCAAGAATCTTTTAAATAATAATTCTCAAAACAACATTAGCATATAACTCAGAAGCAATAAATGATTCCAAGGTTTCACTTCTTTAGAACGACAACTTATCAAATGTCATGCACTAGTTTCTGATGAGCAGGCTGTGTCCTGGACGAGGACAAAGCACCAGCATCTGTGGAGTGGGGCGACCAGATGCTCGTGCATCCAGTTTGGCTGGCTTTGGGCTGCGGAGATGTGTGGCAAATGAGGCCGCCCTCTGTCACGGGGCCACCCCTGCCCAGGCTCTGACATCCCTATGGGGAAAGGCCACAGGCAGGGAGCCAGACCTGCTTCCCACAGGCGAGGTGGGCTGAGAGGAAGCAGTGCCTGGTGTGAGGCAGTATGCTATAGGCTGGACGCTGGCGGCCAGCACCACAACCACCCTCAGGGATAGGGTTCCAGGTGCCACGTACATCACTCCTAACAGGCCTACGCAGCAGGCAACACTTCTGTTCACACCTGAGGGACCCAGGCCCCAGACGTGATGTGCCGAAGGTGGTGCATCAGGATCTGAGCTGTGTGCTCCGAGCCCAGATGGTCTGCTGTGGCACAGCCTCTTCCAGCCCCCACACCACCTACTCTCTACTGAGTGCACCTTCTAAGGTCTCGTGCTCACTGTCACAGCCGTTTCTGAGCCTGACGACACTGCACCCATGGTGGGCACCGCGGTGCTGGGAGGCAGCCCCAGCCTCTTGGTTGGTCTTACCAAGCCCAGCCATGTGAAGCTTCACATGTCTTTTAGGAACAGGTAAGAAATGTCACGAAACCTCCTCCCACAACCTGGATCTCCTTGGATAGGATCTAGCGTTCTTGGTCCACCCCTGAACTCTCACTTCTACTTCCCTAGAAGCGATAAAGTGCTGACTAACTCCACATTACAGGAAGAGTTCAGAGTCAAGGACCGCAGAGGAAAGGTAAAGGCAAAGGGCAGGCGGAGTGTGCTTGGGCAGGGGCTCTCACTGGAGGAGGAGGCGATGGACCGAGATCGCAGGGCAATGCCACCAGGCCTCAGCTCACTCCCTCAGACGCAGGCTCAGCACCAACCACATGAGACTCGCTGGTGGTGCAGCTGCCCCGGCCTGGCCACCACATTCTCAAAGAGGGGCACATGCACACGTGAGAGGAAAATGCAGGAAGTCAGTTCCAGCCAGATCGTCAGATCCCACAGCCACTCCACGCACGTGCATAAGAGGTGCCCAGGAGCTTATTTAAACAGCAGGCTCCGAGGACAGAGTACCAGCTGCAGGTGCGTCCTGATATCCCATTCTAATGCCCAGATGACAGTGGTGGCAGCCAGCACCTGGACAGTTTATGGGCTGCCTTGGACTAAACGCCTTCCTGAGTCACCCACCAGAGTCGTCCTCTGTGTCCGAGTCCTCTGCTGAGGGCTGTGCAGCGGCCGGCAGCTCTGCCAGCTTGAGGTCATATTTTCCTTCTTTCCCCATCCTGTAGGAGTTGGTGCTGCCCGTGTCCCACTGGACTCTTATCCACCCGTCCTCTCCCAGCTCACCAATCACTCGGCCTAGGCCTGGAGGAGGCCCATCCTGAGAAACCAAAGTAGAGATCAATTAGGAGGGTGTGTGCCCTGCCCTGGTCCTTCCATGGCTCCACCAGACCTGCCACACAGATGTCTCCATATGCCACCCTGTCAGGGACCGTCCCCATACACAGATTTCACCTCTCCTACAAAAAGTGTGCTTGCATCATTTTAAATTAAATGACATAAAATAACGTGCTCATGCTGCTTTACCAAGGAAGTCGGGGAAATCTCATCGCAATTAGGATCCTCTCTGGGTCAATGCAGACACAGGGCTTTACAGCAAGTCCTGACCCCTCAATCCCTCACGGGCCTTGCAAGAGCAGAAACCGGAAACAAGCACCAGCACCTCCACATTCCCTTTTCTTCAGTTTCCCCCGGGCCCCAGGGTGGAAGCTCTGTCTCACTTCTGCGGGAGAAAACTGTTTCTAGGATGGATGCTGCTGTCTCCAGACACTGCTATTTCTAAGATGACTGTGACAAAGCCCGGGCTTACCAGCGTGGCTGAGAAAAGCCAGACAGACCATGGGAAGGTGAACACTGCCCTAACTTAGCTAGGGCTGTGGTAAGTGACTTCCACCGGGGGGTACTGGCAGATTTAGAAGACACCTGCTATGAGGAAAAAAGGAGACACGGCCACAGGCCCATGAGGTGTATCCCTAACTACTGGGCTCGCGGCACTTCGCAGCACATGGCCATCAGCTCACAGGGTCAGCATCTGGGCTTCCTGCCTCAGAGCCTTCACTACACCAACTTTCAGAATGAGATTTACTCTCTTGCTCACTCTCACTCTGGTTCCAGCGACCCATCAAACTGAGCCTCACGCCAGTGAGTTTCCTGAGAAGAGCTGCCTCTCTTTCTGGACTTGATTCTGCTCAGATGCCCTACTTATGATTCCCTACTCTTCAGCTGCTTGGGAATCAGTAACTGTGTCATCTAACAACCACACACGTTCCGGGTTATTCCAATTTCCACCCACCAATATCGTACAGAACTGTGCAGAAGATAACTGACGTGTGGCTAATGTGTTCACATCAAATCTCTGAGTACCTGATCGCCCCATTTCCAGTCCACACCTCTCATGACCCTCGTTCCAATCTTCATCATGGCAGCCAGCTCTGGCCCTGAAACGGGGAGCTGCACAGGAGCCGTTTCCTTCCTCGTTTCTTCCAAAACTGTGGCAGAAGCACCTTGAGCAGAAGCATTCATATCTTCCTCAACGTTGTCACAACTGGGGCCTGACAGAGCGTCAAAAACAGCAGCTGAGCCAACAAGTAGCTACAATGCCCCCTTAATACACACAAAACATTTCAAAAGTACTAATGATCATAATTTTGAAAAATCCATACTATAGGTTTTATCAATTAATATAATACCATGAATATTTTACTGATATAGGATAAACCCAAGATAAATGGAAGGACGAAATACATAAATATGCCAAGAAGATACAAAAGATATTAAAATGCTCAGTAAAGCTACTTTCTCTACTTCTAGGAATTACTCCCCCGAAAAAAGCAAAATAACTGAGTTAGAAAGATACTCATCACATTTTTTTATTAATAGAAAAACAAACATAACTACTTAAATATCTAACAGTGAGAAACTAACAAACTTTAATCACGATTCTGTGCAGAAGACAGCTGACAGCTAGCCAGAGATACCACATCAGACAGGACTGCTGCAGGCTAGCCTTCGGCTGGAGTCTGGATTTCAGGAGGGCTCCCCCATTCCCTAGGTGGTAGGTGTGGTTTGCTGTGCCTCAACTGTCTGTACAGACAACGTGGTCTGTGCTGAAACCTGCTTTCCTTGGTCTGGAACTTGGTACGCGCCAGGCAGGGGGTGCCCGTGTGATCAGCCTTGATGGAAACCCTGGGCCTGGCAATCTCTACCCAGTTTCCTGGCAGACAGCACTTGACATAACTCGGTGCCAGGGCAGTTAAGCTCGTCCTGTGTGGCTCCTGTGGAAGCTTGTACCTGCTTTCCTCTGGATTTTACCCATGTCCCTCTTCATGATTTTGCTCTGCGTCCCTTCACTGTAATAAACTGAGCCCTGAGTACAACTACATGCTGAGTCTTTTGAGTCCCGCTGGCCAACCATCAAACCTGGGGGTGGTCTTGGAGACCCCTGACAACTGGTGCCCTGGATGGCCACAGAGTCATCCACAGCATGAAACAGAAGCTGATCTGCTGTCACCTGAAAGAAGAAAACCTTACCAATGGATTTGAAAATGGGAGATCTAACCCCAGGAAAGTACACTAGATTTTTAACCCCCCTTTTCCCACTTGCTAAACTGAGAGGGGGTAGGAGTGCGGTCCTGGTAACTCCCTTGGTTTTAGTTTTCTCCTCTGGGTAGGAGGGAAAAAGATCCAAACAGTCCCAAAGGTGGGCTTGGGTTGACCAAAAAATGTAAAAAGTTTGTGTTTCCCTCTCCCGTGAGAGTAAAAAAGGATATTCAATTCTCAGGACTGGAGCAAAACTTTACATAAACTAGCAGGGGAAACAGCCTTTCCTTTAGCCTAGCTGCTACTTTGGGGGCCCCAAGAATGGGTCTCAAGGAAGGGACAGGAGTTGCATTACAGGCGAATCTCCCAGGATCCCCTGCGCAGTTATACTGTTAACTCTGTAAAGACTGCCAGTGGCTTGAAGAAATTTGCAACCAAAACTGGGGGAAATTTTTATTTTACATAGCTTTATGTTTTGTGGCTGTTACATGTGGATGTATACATTAAGTTAGTATAAAATATTATATGCTTATAATTTCTTTTTTTTTTTTTTTTTTTGAGACGGAATCTCGCTCTGTCACCCAGGCTGGAGTGCAGTGGTGCGATCTCGGCTCACTGCAACCTCTGCCTCCCGGGTTCACGCCATTCTCCTGCCTCAGCCTCCCGAGTAGCTGGGACCACAGGTGCCCGCCACCACGCCCGGCTAATTTTTTGTATTTTTAGTAGAGACGAGGTTTCACCGTGTTAGCCAGGGTGGTCTTGATCTCCTGACCTCGTGATCCACCTGCCTCGGCCTCCCAAAGTGCTGGGATTACAGGCATGAGCCACCACGCCTGGCCTATAATTTCTTAAATGACAAGAGAGATACCCTGATCAGGGCAAGTTGCAAATATAAACAGATATTCGTAAGATACAACTTCCTTGCTTTTTGCAGCCAGTGGGCCAGATGAAATTTAAACAGATGAATACTATCAACAGAATGAGTCCCCATACTTAATGATTTGTGCTGTCATTTTTACTTATGTAAAAATGCAGACACGCTTTTGTAATTTTTAAATATAACTTTTGGTTGCTAATGAGGCCTTAAGAAATCAGATATAACTCTTACTAGATTATTCTTTTCAGCTAGCTGTAATTCACATATTAAAATATATATTTGACATAATATAACATATAAATATATAAATTAAATATATATATATATAGAGAGAGAGAGAGAGACAGAGACAGACAGAGAGACAGATCAATAGAGAGAGCGATTCCCCCCACCCCCAAGACAGGATTTCACTCTGTCACCCAGGCTGGGGTGCAGTGGCTTGATCTCCACTCACTGCAACCTCTGCCTCCCTGGCTCAAGCAATCTTCCCACCTCAGCCTCCCAGGCAGCTGGGACCACAAGCACACACCACTATGCCCAGCTAATTTTCACATTTTTTTGTAGAGACGGGGTTTCGCCGCATTGCCCAAGTTGCTCTCAAACTCCTGAGCTCAAGCAATCCAGCCGCCTCAGCCTCCCCAAGTGCTAGGATTACAGCCTGGCCTGATATATATTTTTGAATGGATTAATGTGAACTCTAAGACTGATGTGATAAAAAGAGCTTGGGAAAACCTTGCTTTTTCGCTTTGACTTTGACAACTGGCTCTGCAGCATCTCATATTTTAGCCAAAGACCACCACCATAAACCAATCAGATCTAATAGACATATACAGAACATTTCACCAAAAAGAGCAGAATACACATTCTTCTCAAGTATACCACAGAACAGTCTCTTAGACTGACCAGACCATATGTCAGGCCACAAAGTCTCAAATTTTAAACAGACTAAAATCATACAAGTTACCTTCTCCAACCAAAATGGAATGATGAGAAATTAATAACAAAAGGAAAAGTGGAAAATTCACAAGTATATGAAAATTAAACAACACACAGTAAACAATCAGTGGGTCAAAGAAGAAATCACAAGGGAAATTAGAAAATACTATGAGATGAATGAAAACACAACATACCAAAACTTCTGTGCTGCACCAAAAGCAGGGCTAAGTGGGGCAATTGTACTATAAAAGTCTGCATTTACAAAAGACGACCTCAAATCAATAACTTAACTCTGCATCTGGAAGAACTAAAAAAATAAGAACACAACAAAAACCAAAGTTGGGCCAGGTGTGGTGCCTCACATCTGTCATCCCAGCACTTTGGGAGGCTGAGGCAGGTGGATAACTTGAGCCCAGGAGGTTGAGGCTGCAGTAAGTCATGACTGTGCCACTGTACTTCAGCCTGAGGGACAAAGTAAGACCCTGTCTCAAAACAAAAACAAAAACAAAAACAAAAACGTACGAAGCAGAAAGAAGGAAACAATAGAGATTAGAGCAGCCATAAATGAAATAAAGAATAGAAAAATAATCAACAGAACCAAAAGTTCAGTTTCTGGCAAGAACAAAAAAACTGACAAACTTTTAGCTAAATTAAGAAAAAAAGAGGCCAGGCGAGGTGGCTTACAGCGCTTTGGGAAGCTGAGGTGGGCAGATCACGAGGTCAAGAGATCGAGACCATCCTGGTTAACATGGTAAAACCCCATCTCCACTAAAAATACAAAAAAATTAGCTCGCCGTGGTAGTGCGCACCTGTAGTCCCAGTTACTCGGGAGGCTGAGGCAGGAGAATCGCTTGAATCCGGGAGGCGGAGGTTGCAGTAAGCCGAGACTGCGCCACTGCACTCCAGCCTGGCAACAGAGCGAGACTCCATCTCAAAAAAAAAAAGAAAGAAAGAAAAAAAGAGAGAAGATGCAAATAACTAACATCAGAAATGTAAGTGGAGACAGCACTACCAACATAAAAATAAAAAAGATTGTAAAAGAACACTGTGAACAACTGTATGCCAACAAATAAAATAGCCTAGATAAAATGAACGAATTCCTAGAAACATAAATTACCTGAACTGACTCCAGAAGAAATAGAAAACCTGAAAAGACCCATAACCAGTGAAGAGATTGAATCGGTAATCAAATATCTTTCAACAAAGAAAAGCTTAGCTGGTCAACTCTACCAAACATTTAAAGCAAAATTGACGCCAATCCTCAAACTCTTCTAAAAACAGAATACATGGGTACACTACCTAGTTCATTCTATGAGGCCATTATTACCCTGATAACTGTAAAACAATAAAATATTGCTGAAAGAAATTAAAGAGGAAAGAAATAAATGGAAAGACATTCCACATTCAGAGAATGGATGTTAACATTGCTAAGATGGCACTATTCCCCAAAACAATCTACAGATTCAATCCCTAGCAAAAATCCCAATGGTCTTTTTTGCAGATATGGAAAAGCCAGCCTTGATGTTCATATGAAAATGCAAGGGACCCAAAGAAGCCAAAATAATCTTGAGAAAGAAAACACACTTCTCAATGCTAAAACAGTACAAAACTACGATGTTCAAAACAGTGTGGTACCCACATAATTATCGACATATAGAATGTGATAATGTAATTGAGAGTCCAGAAGTAAATCTAAATACCTACAGCCAACTGATTTTTGCCAAGGGTACTGAGAACTTCAGGGAAGAACAGTCCTCAACAAGTGGTATTGAAACAATCAGATAATCAAAAGAAAAAGGTTAGACTCTTACCTCACACAGTGTAAAAAAAATTACCTAAAAATGGACCAAAGATCTAAATATAAGAGCTAAAACTATAAAACTTACAGAAGAAAACATGAGGATAATCTTCATCAATCTTGTATTTGGAAATGGCTTTTTGGATATGATATCAAAAGCACAGATGATAAAAGAAAAACAGATAAACTGAACTTCATCAAAATAAAAAACTTCTGTATCAAAGGAAATACAATCCAGAGAACAGGAGAAAATATCCTCAAATTATATATCTGATAAAGGTCTACAGATCTGTGAAGGTCTAGGATACACAAAATTTTTAAAGAGTCTGAGGACTGGTGTTAATTCTTCTTTATTTGTTTGGTACACTTATATAGTGCATTTATTGATACAATAAAAAGATGACAAACCACCCTATTTAAAAAGGACAAAGGGGCTGGGCGCAGTAGCTCAGGCCTGTAATCTCAGCACTTTGGGAGGCTGAGGCGGGCAGATCACCCGAGGTCAGGAGTTTGAGACCAGCCTGGCCAACATGGCGAAACCCCATCTCTACTAAAAATACAAAAATTAGCCAGGTGTGGTGGTGTGTGACTATAATCCCAGCTACTTGGGAGGCTGAGGCATGAGAATCACTTGAACCCGGGAGGTGGAGGTTGCAGTGAGCCAAGATTGTGCCACTGCACTCCAGCCTGGGCGACAGAGTGAGACTCTGTCTCAAAAAAATAAAATAAAAAATAAGGAGAAAGGGACTTGAATAGACACTTCTCCAAAGAAGATATACAAATGGCCAACAAGCGCAAACATGTAAAGAAGTTCAATCATCATTCATCATCAGTGAAATGCGAATCAAAATCACAATGAGATACCACTTCACACCCACTAGGATGGTCTTAATCAAAAAAAAAAAAAAAAAGAAATCCCACAAAAAATAGTGTTTGTGTTGGCAGGGAAGTAGAGAAACTGAAACCCTGGAACCCTGGAACCCTGTCCACTGGTGGTGGGAATGTAAAATGATACCACACTGTGGAAAAGTTTGGTAGTTTCTTAGTAAGTTACACATAGTTGTACCATATGACCCTGTAATTCCAGTCCTAGGTGTATAATCAAAAGAACTAGAAACAAGTGTTCAAACAAGTATTTGTATATAAACGTTCCTAGCAGCACTATTCACAAGTCAAAAGGCAAAACCAACCCAAATGTCCATCAACAGATAAACGAATAAACAAAATGTTATATATTCATACAAGGAAGTCTTTTTCAGCAATAAAAATAAAGTACTGATATGAAATAACCCAGACACAAAGGCCACAACTGGTATGATTCCATTTATATGAAATATCCAGGATATGCAAATCCATAGACAGAGAAAGCAGATTTGTGACTCCTAGAGGCTGGAGGGCAGGGGAGTCAGGACTGATTGCTAAATGGGGTGCATTTATAGTGACGAAAAAATTCTACAACTAGATGGTGGTGATGCCTCTAGAAAAGTGTGAATGTATTTAATACTGCTGAATTGCGACGTTAAAATGGTACACTTTCTGCTATTTGTGTCTTACCATAATTTACAAAAAGTTAAAAAAAAAAAAAAAAAAAGAAAGAAATCAAAGCAAAATCTTGATGTTTTCCCAAAGGCTCTCAAGCCGGTGCAGACCTACCAATCAGGCGCAGCGCCGTCTGCGTGAGGGCCAGCGTGCCGGAATTGAGCAGGAGGTCGAGGTTGTTTGCACCGTGCTGCAGGGTGAGCATGCTGAGCATCACCAGGAGGAAGCGGGCTTGTGGGATGGTCCCCAGGCTCGGTCCTGACGGGTTCTCATTGGTAATGGTTTGCAGGGGAACCGGCTGGATACCTAATGAGCATTGGCACCTACTTACATTTCTTGTGCATGGATACAAGATACAAGAATAAACGTAATGCAGAAAGCATTGGCGATTACTTTAAACATCTGTTTTTCAGTGGATTTCCACAGTGTGTGCAGCTCTGTCATGCTGCACAATGAGCCTATCCCCTGCACTCCAAACACAGGTCATTCCATCTGTCTACAGGACTTTTAGCATGTTGCTCTCCGAATACCCTGGTGCCCTATTCCATTCCTTCCATTTCAAATATGAAAGTTATGTCTCACTTTTCATCCACAAAACCAATCCAATCAACTCTCTGTTGATGCTCAAACTATCCAGGAAATAATATTAATATAGGACACAGACACTTTAGGGTATGTGGTGATACACATAAAAATGTCAAAATGTAAAAATGTTATACTAGAGTACTTCAACATTGTGTCTCCTGCTAAATTTTAAAGTTTTGTTTAAAATCTGAGAAAGCTGAAATACAAGTACAAAGTAATTAAAGTCTTCTCAAAAGCAAAAATTGGCATTTGCAAGTTTCCACTACACATAATTAAAGCCAAAATATAAAATAACATTGATGCAATTGTTGACTCACCAAGCTCTTTAAATTTGGCATTGGCATCCATCAAAACATTTCGAATGTTCTGAACAGCCCAAGCATACAGCTTGCCAAAGGTGACTTCCAGCAGCATCCGATTAAAAGGGGGGATCAAATCAACATCCTTTAAACAATCAGTAAGAGGTTCCCTTTCAAATAAAGATAAAGAATTTGACTCGGGACACTGCCAGACTTCTAACTACTACAGAACAACATTTTGTTGCCACAGCTTCCTTAATTATGAAAAAAACAGGATAACGTTTTACCCTATATCGATTCCCTCAGGAATAAGTCTTTGCCATCCACAAAACATCGCGTACTGCACAGATGGAAGTAAGAAATTCTTGCTTGCCAGTTTTAAAATTGTATCTATCCCTTCCAGGCGAACCTCTGCTCTCTCCAACTGCAAAATATTAATGCATACAGTTAAATGTTATATACATTACCCAATGCACAGAAGCATTTCTCTTCAAATTTTACCTGTTTTAGTAGGCACTTTCTCATTTTTTCCACATCCACTGGCTCTTCTTTAAGGGCAAATTCAGCAATTGTACTGAGGAGTGGAGACTGCGGATAAAGACCCTGAACATTCTGCTTCAACCACTTGTATTTGTGAACACCTGTAACAGTACTCAACAGCGGCTGCCATTTGTCCTAACAGAGGAAAACAATTTTCATCATTAGTCTATCCTATTTAATATTAAACTGTGCTCTAAAAGTTATTCAAGTCAAATATAAATAAACAATGCTCACAGGTTTAAATTGGTTAAAATATGTTAAATTTAGTAAGTAACACACGGTTTTAAAACTATGCTATAAATATACTTATAAGTGAATTTATAATCTCTATACTAATGCATGTTGGAACAGGCTAGCTTGGCATACAAAATTAAGTGATGGTTCATATTAATAACCACAGTGCCCGGCACTGTTTCTGGAACAAAGAATATCGTTAAGGAACGAATGGTGAATAATTAATGGCACAATCGAGTACCAAAACTAAAAGGAAACCCTTCTCCAGCTACAGCTCTGACCAGGACATCGTAAGTCCAGTTCATGAAGCATCCCTGGGGCCGTATTTCTAACCACCACCCGTCCCTCCCTCCAGACGCTCAGGTAGAGAGGTACAAGACTTGGGGATTCCTGTGCTACGTGCTATGACTCTATTCAGCTAACCTCAGAATCACAGAAAATACTGCACCTTGGGTGATTTAATTGCAATGGGTCTCTTGTCCACATTTATTGGACTATGAGGCAAAATGCAAGCTTCTTCTAAATCACTCTCTTCATTTCCAATTTTTTCTTCATCATCCGTAGATTCTGGCTTCTTAGGAACTGTATTTTAAAACATCATTTTCTATAAAAATCATACACTTAAATATAATTTTAAATTAAGAAATATTTAGATTTGCATGAAGGACAAATATTTCATTCAAATAAACATGTGAACACCATTATAAATTGCAATGCTCAAACCACAAAAGTGAAATGACCACCACGGCAGAACAAAAAGACAAACTGAGAGTGCGACACGGGGAGAAGCCCCGAAGCCGGGGAAGCCCGGCGGCCAGCGAGCTCTTCCTCAAGCGCTGGCGGGTGAATGTTTGAGTCTTTCAGGCCATGCAGTCTATTGCAAATACTCAACTCTGCTGCTGGAGCACAAAAAGTAACCACAAATAAAACAAGAGGTGTGGCTGTGCTCCCATAAAACTTTATTTATGGTGCTACAATTTTAACTTCCTGTAATTTTCATGTGTCAAAAATAATATACTTCTTCTAATTTTTAAAAAACAATTTCAAACTGGGAAAAAAAAAAAAAGGTCTTAGTACCTGGCCAACACAAAGCAAACAAGAGGTGGAATTTGGCCCACAGTTCCTGGCTTGTCCACCCTGGTCCAGTTCAGGGGTTCTGTTAGTGTGTAACTAAATCAATTGAATTCATTGTGGTATGTGGAATTTCCTCCCTATATTTTATCTCTTTTAAAATTTTTGGTCTAAATCTCCTCAGCATATAATATAAAAAATAAGCAACATGATAACACACCTGGGCAGTGAAGAGTTAACATAGCAGGCTGGGGTTGCTCAAACCCTGCAAATGCCCAAGGAAGGTCTGTCCCTTCAGGATTGGTCCTTCTTCTAGGAGCTGAGCTCTGAGTCCTTGGAACATCCTGCCTGGTAAGTTTTTTGGTATCCCTGACACCCAGGACCTTGTGGCAGCAGTCAGGCAGGCAGATTATGCTAACGATGTGACTCTAGAGGGACCACTTGTTTTTGCGCTGAGGCACCAGAGTCTAAGTAATTGAGGTCAGTCACATGTGCACTGCCTGTGCTTGTGACTGGCCCCCAATAAAAACTCTAGACTCAAGGCTCAGGTGCGCTGGCCTGGTTAACAGCTCTTCACACATGATGTGACACACTGTTGCTGGGAGAGCAAAGCACATCCAAATGACGCCACTGGGGAGAAACACCAGAAGCTCATGCCTAGTTTTCTCTGGACTTCCCTCTAAGTACCCTTCCCTTTGCTAATCTTAATCTGTATCCTTTTTGCAGTAAAAAACCACAGCTGTGAGTATAACAGCTCTTCTGAGTCCTTTTAGTGAATCATTAAGCCTGAGACAGGGCTCGGGGATCCCTGACAGAGCAACAGGAATATTAATCACTTAATCTTTATAAGTTACTTAATTTCCAAAAAAAGAAAAAGAAAACCAGCTTGAAACAACGCACAATAAATCTATAAACCCACAAGAAACTCTAAAAGTGACAGTGTGGGCTCAGAACCCACGGATATGAGATGGCAAATGGTGGAGTCTCTCTCCCTCATGCTGAGACAGGCCTGTCTCTGGGCCCGGCCTGAGTTCCTGTGTGCCTGGGTTAAAGGAATCGCAGCAGCGTGACTGCTGTGACTGCCTGATTCGGAGCACTCACTGGATGCAGACAGGCTGTTACGGTGTAGGGTTTGTTCAGGAACAATCAACTTAGATGGTTTCTAAAACACTTCAGTCTTTCATAAGCTTATTGTTCAAAATGCCCATCAGAAACTCAGTAATTAATACTGTTCAATAAGCAGGTTTGAGAGTAAATCAGTATAAGTCATAAGAATATGATCAGAGGCCGAGCGCGATGGCTCACGCCTGTAATCCCAGCACTTTGGGAGGCCGAGGCAGGCACATCATGAGGTCAGGAGATCAAGACCATCTCGGCCAACATGGTGAAACCGTCTCTACTAAAACACAAAAATTAGCTAGGCGTGGTGGCACTTGCCTATAATCCCAGCTACTTGGAAGGCTGAGGCAGGGGAATCGCTTGAACCTGGGAGGCGGAGGTTGCAGTGAGCTGAGATCGTGCCACTGCACTCCAGCCTGGTGACAGAGCAAGACTCTGTCTCAAAAGAAAAAAAAAAAGAATATAATCAGAAATTTCTGTAGTTTATTTATAATCACAAGTGACTAAATTCTAAACTATTTTATAATTTCTAAGCATTTTTACTCAAATTTGGATTTAATGCAACAAGACCTTTCTGTACCCTTACACAGCCACTTCCAGGAAAACGTCAGTAACTCTTTTAGCTTCCCTTTCTAATTCTCCACGTATCAGAATACTCAATATTTCCCAACAAAAAACATTTCTTTAGAAGAATGGCCGTAAGTTTAAATGTTCCCATTATATCTCATTACCAGGACAACTAATAAAATAAAAATACTTCCTTGTCCCCATCAATTTAGTAAAGATTATTTAGGTTTTCAACATCAATTTACTAGTAACCAAATCATACCACACTCAATTCCTAAACTGCCTCATTGATCTCTTGGAAAAATAAGCGAGATTTCTGCATTTAATCATAACTATACATAAAAATGATGGCAGCAGGTAGAAACGTCACATGGAATCAACAGTAGAGAAACTTCACTCTGAAATCACAGATCCAACGAGGCAGGGTGAAGCACACGCTTTAACAGTATCTTCTGTCCTTTTACATTCTTACCTCTCTTTTTCCTTCGTTCTCGAATTATCTTCTGAGCTATCCTCCTCCAACGGGGCAAAGAACTTAACAATTTAAACTTAGACATTATAGAGAGGTCATTACAAACAGCAGGTCTCAATTCATTAAAGAGGAATCTCAAACGTTCAATGACAGGAGCGCAGACCTCCTTGTAAGAACGGCCCTGTTCTTGATGAGTCTGCAAAGTTAACCAGGAAAAGACAACTTTAACAACAAATATTTCAGCAACTGTCTGCAAAGCACAGAATAAAAAGAATTAAAATCTGTCACCTTAATGAGCGAACATTTTGCTTGGTAGACAACTCTACAAACATCCACCACTGACTTAGGCAACGTTCTGTGCTTTACTTGCTCAATACCAAGTGCACCTGCATGAACTAAAGATAATGCCACATGACCTGTAAAAAGACATTTAAAAGAAGCGCAGGGAAGGAATGAATATATACCGCAGGTTAGTCGAGGAATCTGCAGTATAGCAAAAGTACACAGATAGTGAGCTCCATACCTAAATCTTCATGTTTTAAGAGGCAACATAACAGCAAGCGACCGACCTCTTCCACGGGATGCTCCGGAGGAAACGTGATCGGTGTGGTCAGATGGCACTGCCTACAGTACCTTTCTATTTGACACAAAAAGTCCTGCAACAGAAACAGCGGGAGGTAACTTCAGGGCCGCCCAGAGAGTCTTCACAAATCTTAAACATACCACAGCTTCTGACACACTTGCAATCAGTAATGCTTCTGAAGCCTCACTAGCATGTTAACAGAATCAGGTTCTCACCTCAAAACCCTCCAAATACATGAAACAACGCCTGTGCTATGTTAACCAAAGAGCACATAAGTATTCCTATGTCCAAGTCCTCAGATAAACAGAGCACTGAGGTGGCAGTGGGGGGAGGCCTAGCTCACCTTCACGTTGTGATCCTGAATGTTATTGTCTGCAATGGCTTGCAGAAATGCCTGGGAATGGTCCCCCAGGGCCCGTCTGTGGGAGCAGAGTCGAGATTTGCTGGCAGGTGTGCCCCCTGGGGAGCTGCAGTGGTCCTCATCTTTCTCCTCGTTGTAGCTGTAGTGGATCTGGCTAGTCTGCAGGCCTCCAGAGAAGATGGATGACTGAAGCCACTCTAGAAAATGCACACGCAAACATGAAAAAGAAACTCAAGTGCACAACTCAAAATAAATACTAAAAAAAGAAAAAAAAAGATGCTCAACTGATCACTCAATTTAGAAGGTGAAATTCAGCATCATTCATATGAAAGAGCTCCACCTAACATGTTTACACAGGTTGACTTATAATTCCTCTATCTACGTGAACACACTCCTGGTGATTCCACATGCCTCAGGCATGGCACTGGAACTCAGGATCGTAGTCCCAGCCCAACATTCACTGGATACCTGTGCTCTGCCTGCAGCTGCCGGGTTCCACAGATACTGTGTGAAGACTGAGTTGCACATTGTAACAGGGAGGGCAGCAAAGGGCACCGCTGACACAAGTAATCACAGGATTTCAGGTCCGAAACTGTGTGCAACGGATGAGTGTGGGGGTACCAGGGAGACTGGAAGACAGACCACTGCTGTTCTGAGGGTCAGTAAGGGACTTGTGGAAGCAATAACTGAGCTAAGATGGGGAATAAGACCAAGACGCTGAGTATCCAGGCAGGGAACAGCACATCTGAAGGGTTTCCACAAGAATTACATCCTCAGGGTAGGCTATGTATTCCTAGACCACTTATAAAGGAATGAAAAGAAGAAAATATTTAACAAACACAATCTTTAATGAAGGATAGATCCTTAGAGATGGGAGGGCTAATGGACTGGAAAGGAGACCTGTGCGTAGTGCAAGGCATGGGATCAGCCAGTGTGAATGTCAACTACAACTGCCTATGGTAACTTGAGGGAGCAGCACACACACACAAAATTAGTATGTGCACCACTACAGATCTCCATTAACGATCTGTGTTATCAAATACTGCTCCAAATCCAAGCCATCAAAGTGGGGATGCACTTAGTGTTCTTTTACTGGACATTAAGATTTCAGAGCACTCAGGATCATTCCCCAACCCACCACATGCGTTCTTCTGAAACACAAATCCAGTGCCGACTCTCCCTGGCCCCCTCTCTTTAAGCACAGGACAGCCCCTCCTTACTGCTCCAAGATAAGCCTCTGATCCTCCTGTGGATCGGACCCACCTGCCAGGGCCCATGGCACCCTTTGCCCTGGAGCTCACCAGCCCTGCCCTCCTTGCCAATTTAAGCAAAGCCCATCTTCTGGCAAGCAACGAGCCTCGAGGAGGAGGGAGGGAAGCTGCCACCTCAGAGGGCACCACAGGCAGCCCAGCACCCAGCACTGCACAAAGGTCCACCCAATGGGGGGCTGTGTGGGCACCAAGATCCTCCTTCCCCACCAGCCTTCTGCCACACCCACTCTCACAAGCAGCAGGAAAGCCCTGCTCCTCTCAGCAGTGCCCTTGACACCCCTGCGTTTTCTGTCCAGAATGCTCCCTCACGCAATTTCAGGACTGCTGCCAATGTGAAGCCTTTCTTCTCCCAGAACCATGTATGAATGTCTCCATTTCACCATTCACCACCCTGTAACGTGACCAGCTTAGAATGCTGGCTCATCAACAAGCAGCAGCTGAAAGTGGAGGCGTGTCCTATCCATCCCTGCATCCCAAACACCTAGCGTGGTAACTGCACCAGGCGACTGCTCAACAGAAGCTGCTCACATGGACGGATAGACAGACAGATGGGAAATGTACAACTACATGAAGAAAAATGTAAACCCATCTTAGGAGACAGGAAGAAACTTATTATTTTAGGTGGTTACAAAGGTTGCCATCCTGAAATATAAGTGACTTGAGCCTGGTCTTGTAAAAACACAGTCCTCAAATAGAATGCTGTCCCCTGAGAGGACAGCTGATCCACATTCTGTGCAACTTCTGGGCATGTAGGGAGACAAAAGCCATGCTGCGCCCATCAGGCAGAGGCTGCAAATATGTGAGACCACCACAGGGTAGACGGGTACACATTCCTGCACACTTTTTAGCTTCCTCTGCAGCAACAGACCATGAGGGCAAATGACAGCCACTCACAGCTGTTTCTACCGGATTGAGTCTATCCTTATTATTATTATTTTTTTATCATCATCACTGTGTTGAATCCTCCTCTCCCCCTTTTTTTCTTTTTTTTTTGAGACGGAGTCTTGCTCTTGTCACCTAGGCTAGAGTGCAGTGGCGTGATCTCGGCTCATTATAACCTCTGTCTCCTGTGTTCGAGCAATTCTCCTACCTCAGCCTTCCGAGTAACTGGGATTACAGGCGCCCGTCACCATGCCCAGCTAATTTTTGCATTTTTAGTAGACATGGGGTTTCACCACGTTGACCAGGCTGGTCTCAAACTCCTGACCTCAGGTGATTCACCTGCCTCAGCCTCCCAAATTGCTGGGATTACAGGCATGAGCCACCACCTGGCCATCTCCTACTTTTTTAAAGAGAGAGTCTTGCTGTGTCACCCAGGCTGGAGTGCAGTGGTATGATCACAACTCACTGCAGCCTCAACCTCCCAGGCTCAAGCGATCCTCCTACCTCAGCCTCTTGAGTATCTGCGACTACACGTACGTGCCACCATGCCTGGCTAATTTTTGTATTTTTTGTAGAGATGGGGTTTTGCCATGTTGCCCAGGCTGGTCTCAAACTCTTGACCTCAAGCAATTCACCTGCCTCAACCTCCCAAAGTGCTGGGATTACAGGCAAGAACCACTGTGCCTGGCCCTCTCCCACTCTTAATGGCACTTACAGTTCAAAAAAAATAATCTGCTAATCAGCAAACAGCAAAGATTTTCTTACTGGCACATTCAATCTCAACAGGAGACAGCGGTGTGCTCATTGCTAAATAGGAGGCGTGTAATCCAAGAAGCAGGCCCAGATTCCTCTCTGTGTCTATCAGAGGTGAAGAGAGACTTCCCAGATCTGGTATGGTGACAACTTCTTGGTCAGGCTGGAAAAATAAATTTCATCATCAATCTGAGGAAACAGAATTAATTAAAAACATAAAACTACAAGGACAGCTCTGTCCTGCAGCTGTACCACCATGTGAGCCCAGGGGTGCTCTGGGTGTTCTGCCCCTCCATCCTGTAACGAGTCGATGCTGCTGTGCCCAAGTAACAGCAGATGCCACAGAAACCCACACGCCCTAGAAAGCAGGCAGCAACTGCACAGCCCTATGTAGAAAAACTAAAGCACAGACACATGATTTGGCTGAAATATTCCTTAGGAGTCAGTTTCCAAAGTGACTGTACACCATGCTTCAGAAAGTATAATGAATTGTTACATGCACAAGGAAACACTGGGCAACAAAACTATGACACGACAAGTGTTCGATGACAAGTATTAGTGGACTGTGACCACACATGTGGAGGAAATGAAATTTATTCTAACAAAAATCGAACTCTGAAAAAAGCAAGAGTTCAACTTTTCCAGTCACAGAAGATATTTACAGCAAAGTTAATTCTCCTCTTCATAAAATGCTTTAAGCCCTGCCCTAATGGCATTTAATACATTTTATTACTTATGGATATCTGGAAAGCTAATCCCAATATATAAATTCTATGTGTTCATGAATACATAGGAAGGACATATTTCTATTGCCAAGAATTACACTTCTGCATAGTTCTTCCCAAAATATACATACCGCAAGATAATAAGCCATTCCAAATTTCTACATAAGACCAAAGTTTAACCTCTTTTCTTGTGGAACACTGTCTATATTTCTCAAATTGATTATTTAAAAAACAATCTTTCAAGACCAATACATCACAGATCTTAACATGAATAAATGTAAATTCATTTATGACAAAACTTCTAAAGGATCTTTATATTTATCCCTAATGCCCCCCAAAAGACACAGATATCAGTACTTCTGGATCCAAATATTCCTGTCACAAACCACACAGAGGGTATCCCTTGCTATCCTCTGCATCACTCAAGGCACATAGCCTCACCTCCAGATACTGGCCAACACAAAACGCATGCATAGATTCCCGAGTGTCTTCAAACTGCAAAGCAGCTTCCAAAGCTACCACTGGGTCTTCCCCTGCAAACTGAGCTGAAACAAAAAGGGAAAAAGCAACATGAGTTCAGTTCAATTTGCCTGAAAAGCTATAGGAGAAACAGTGAGTAGGAAATAAGTTAGGCGCTTAACTCAAAAGTGAGGGTTACCAGAGGATAATGACCTCCCACTGTCTCTCAGGGTTGCCTGGGCCAACTCAGAACTTGAAATGAGTTCCAAGTCTTAAAACAAAAAACGCATAATGATAGGAAATTCTTCAAATGTGCTGAATTTGTTGATAAGACAGACACCAAAGCCATAGATACATTAAACTATGTGGGGGCTGGCACAAAACTAAAGAAATCATTTATAAGCCAAATACGCTGCTTAAAATGACACAGGCTATAACTTTTAACCATGAAATAAGAAGTGTAATCTCACCAAGAATACTATTTCCTGTTAACGACTGCGTCTGGAAGTCCTTTATATCATACACTTTCCCGTCAATCACAGTCCAGAAGCCTCCATCTTTATTATGGTTCTCCAAATCAGCTTTGCGTATAAGCGTCACTTCTTCATTATTTCTACAGTTCTGACCTGTAAAAAATGACTCTGTATATACAGAAACCAGAATCAGTCCATCGATCAATCAACAGGTAAAATGAAAAGAACAAACTGTGTGAAAGAACTACAAGCAGATATAAACAAATCCACAACCACAATGAGAGAAATGTATACCTGGCTCTGAAACCAATACCACACACAGGCAGCATGAATATCAAATCTGGCCATGCCAGGCCATAGAGCAAATCTCAACAAATTTCAAAGAAATCAACTTACAGAGCACGTGTGCTGACGACAATGCAGTTAAATTAGAAATAGGTTTTTAAAAATTCATCCAAAATAAATAAATAAAAATATTCATCCACATATTTGAAAATTACAAAGCTCACTTAGAAGTAACCCAAAATTCTAAGAAAAAATGACTATGGAAATTAGAAAATGTGTTCAATTAATGACAATAAAAATACTGCAGATCAAAATGGTGACATACAACTAAATGCATGCTTGAGGGCATTTATGCCTTTAAATGTGTATATTAGGGGGAAAAAGCTAAAGAAGAAAAGAAACACCAAATCAATAAAAGTCTATTGGTTCATAAAAATACTCAAAAAAAGAAAACCTGATTGGTGGTCACCTTTGAAAGTGCTAGGATACCAACTCAATATTATGAAAAATAGTTAAAGGGAAGTGGCAGTTCAAGAAGTCAAGCTTAGATCATGTCCTTCCTGTACAAATGGTACCTCCTGCTAACCAGACAGCAGAGGACAAGGTTGGTAGGGGATTTTATAGAGGACACGCAACACATGAATTCCCTGGTCTAGCATCACAGAACTAAAGCGGGGAGCCACCAAGCATTACAGGCCTCCTGAGCCAACAGAAAGCATGCAGCATGACTCCAGACATAACATCGACCCAACGAGACTGCATTCAAATCCAGCCAAACCTCTAGATCTAACCAGCAGACAAATGTAACTAACAGAAGAACGTGTTGGTCTAGAATGAGAATGCAATCAACCAAGTTCAGAAAATGTGAAGTTCTCCAAAATAACCAGCCTGTTTCTTTGAAAAAGAAAACAGTATGATCAGAGACAGGGAGAGGAGGGCCTGGAGCCATGTTGTTGGGGTAAAGAGACTAGAAGCATACGTCAACCAATGCCAATACGCAGAACATGCTCAGGTCCTAATTCAAAATTACCACCTAAAAAAGGCATTTTTGAGATAGTCCAGGAAAATGTAATATGGACTGCATGTTAGATTAAGGGATCACTGTTAATCTAATAGACAGGATAATGATATTGTAGGGTTTTCTTTAAATCCTTATCATTAAGATGTAAAATGCCTTAAAATGTTTTAAAGACAGAGTTATGCTTTAGAATAATCCAATCAATCAACAATATAGAGAAGTATGGGAGGGGAACGTATTCACCTGTTAAAGCTAGATTCATTTTACTATTTTTCTACTTTTATCTATGTTAGAAAATTTTCATAATAAACATTACAAAAAATCACTATGCTAATAAGTATTCATTTCTCAAAAAGCAAGAAAAATAGCAGATTAAACCCTAAGAAAAAAGAAAGCAATAATAAAGAAGAGTATGGCACTGGAACAGACAAACATATAGAAACATGGAACAGAATGGAGACCCCAAAAACAATCCCTCACGTATTTGGTCAGATGATTTTTGACATGGGAGCCAAGCCCACCCAATGGGGAAAGAAGAGCCTTTTCAATGCACGGTACTGGGAAATCCAGACACGCACATGTAAAACAACGTAGGTAGACCCTTACCTTACGCCACACACAAAAACTAACTCAAAATTGATCAGAGACCTAAAAGTAAGTGCTAAAACTATAAAATTCTTAAAAGAACACACTGCGGAAAAATTTCATGACGCTGAATTTGGTGACAATGTCTTGAATAGGACACCAAAAGCAGCACAGGCAACAAAAGGAAAATACAGGTAAGTTGGACTTAATCAAAATCGAACACTTCTGTGCATCAAAGGAGGCTATCAAGAGTGATACGGCAACCCAAAGAATGCAAAACAGATTGCAAATCATATCTATATCTATCCAGAATATATAACGAACTCCTAAAACCCAACACGACAAAAACCCAATTAAAACACGGGCAAAAGACTTGAATAGACATTTCTCCAGAAAAGATATACAAATGGTCAATAAGCACATGAAAAGATGCTTGACATCACTAATCATTAGGGACATACAAATCAAAACCACAATGAGATACCACTTCACACCCATTGATGGTTACTATTTTTTAAAAAAAACAGTGTTGGTGAGGATGTGGAGAAACTGGAACTCCTGCACACTACTGATGGGAACACAAAATGGTACAGCCACTCTGAAAAACACTATGGCAGCTCCTCAAAAAAATTAAATATAAAATTACCATATAATCTACCAATTCTACCTCTGGCTATCTACCCAAAAGTAAAAGCAGGCCGGGCGCAGTGGCTCACGCCCATAATCCCAACACTTTGGGAGGCCGAGGTGGGCGGCTCACGAGGTCAGGAGAACAAGACCATCCTGGCCAACATGGTGAAACCCTAGCTCTACTAAAATACAAAATTAGCTGGGCATGGTGGCGCACGCCTGTAGTCCCAGCTACTCAGGAGGCTGAGGCAGGGGAATTGTTTGAACCCGGGAGATGGAGGTTGCAGTGAGCCGAGATCATACCACTGCACTCCAGCCTGGCGACAGAGCAAGGCTCTGTCTCAAAAAAAATAAATAAAAATAAGAAAAAGAAAGGACGCAGATGGATATACACACCCATATTCATGGCAGCATTATTCACAATAGCCAAAAGATGGAAACAACCCAAGTGTCATCAGCTGGTGGGTGGAGAGCAAAATGTGATATATTCATATAACAGAATATGACTTCACCTTAAAATGTAAGGACATTCAGACACTTTCCACAACACAGATAAACCTTGAAGACATGCTAAGTGAAATAAGCCAATCCCAAAAGGATAAATACTGTATGGTTCCATGTATATGAGGTACCTGGAGTAGTCAAATTCAGAGACAGAAAGTAGAATGGCAGTTGCCAGGTGCTGGGGAAAACTGGTGTTTAATGGATACATAGTTTCGGGTGAGAAAAATGAAAAGCTCTAGAGATGAGCGGTGGTGATGGCTGTAAAACAATGTGAATGTACTTAATGCCACTAAACAGTACACTTAAATGGCAAATTTTATCAATCTTATACACACCCTTCCAAGAAAAGAATAGGCAGGAACATTCTCCTACTCACTCTACAAGACTAGCACAACCTTGGTTACCAAAACCTGAATGTCTATTACATTTTCCTACTATCATATCCATCAGCCAGTATTTCCCTCGATGAGCTAACGTTCCCTGGTGGACAGATGGAAACTAACAGAGGTTGCATGGGACCTATCCTCTTTCTGAATTATAGCTTCCTTGTTAGTAAAGAGGTGGTGGTTATCAATAACAATAACAGTAAGCTGCAGGGCATTACAAGAAAATAAAATTACAGGTCACTGAAAAAATTACAAGGAAAATGACATGCAAAATCTAGAAAAATTACAAATAAAGATGCAAAATTGTCTTTTAAAAATAGCAGACCAAGACCACAAATATCTATCCATATGACCAATATTAAGATTAAAGTAGTTTTATTCCAGAAATGGAAGGCTGAGTCAACATTTGACAAGTCAGTACTTCATACTTTAATAGAAAAAAAAAATTATATCATCATGTAGGAAAAGCATTTGATGAAATTTAACATCCAATCATAGTTAAAACCGCATCACAAAGCAGAAACAGAAGAAAACATCCTTAAAATTCAAAGGTACTTACAAAGAAATTCCTAAAACAAACATCATACTTCGTGTATGAAATCTTGAAAGCTTTTTCTCTGCTACTAAGAAAAAGGCAAGGAGGCACACTGTCACCATTTCTACTCCACAATGCACTACAGGTCCTAGCAAGTGCAATAAGTCACTAGGGGAAAAGCTGCAAGATCAGACCAGACACAAGTATAGACAATCACTTGGTTCAGACAAAGGTGGCACCCCAGAAGAGAGACCAAGGACAGTCTTTTCACCCAAAGGTGTGGCACAAAGACACTACGGACAAAATGCCTGTGGGAAAAAAGTGACATGTGACCCCTATCTCATAACTTGCACAAAAATCAAGTCCAAGTGCACTATAGCTCTTAACACGAAAGTTAAGACAATAAAACTTTAAGGTATAAAAGAAAATCTGGGTAAGAAAAAGATTTCTTAAGGCACAAAATGAACAACCATTAAAATAGTTAACAAACTGGATTTCACTAATATTACTTCTGTTCATCAGAAAACACTTTTAAGTGACTACACAGGCCTCAGTGAGAGAAAAAGCTCCAGGAGAAATAGAGCCAAAAGTTCATATCCCAAATATACAAAAACACTCATATGAATGACTAAAAAGAAAAAAAGATAATCAGATAGAAAAATGGGCACAGAACTTGAATTGGCAGTTCACAAAAGAGAATTTCCAACTGATTAACATACATATGAAAAGGTATCAAACCTCACTATTAATCTAGAAAATGCTAATTGAAACCACAATGAGATACCAGTGACACCCATCAGAATGGCTCAAACAGGGAGTGCCAGCAATGCTAGGTCTTGGCACAGAGGTGGAACACTGAGAATTCTCACTTTGCGGTGGAGATGAGTAGCAGCACAATCACTGTGGAAAACTGGCATTCTGTATGAAAGGCATCCTCTACAAACCAAGAGTCCCACCAAGAAACAGAAAGCATGATTAAAGAAACAGATGTAAGAATGTTAATTTATTGGCAGGAACACTGGCTCATGCCTCTTACGTCAGCACTTTGGGAGGCCAAAGTGGAAGGATCACTTGAGCCTAGGAGTTTGAGACCACCCTGGGCAACAGAGGGAGACCGTGTCTCTACAAAAAAGTGAAAAATTAGCCAGGCATGTTGGCGCATGCTTGTATTCCCACCTAGGTGGAAGGATATGGTAACATATTAATTTAACCTAAACCTGGAAACAACTTACATTTCCATCAACAAGTAGAATGAATAGGTTGTTGCATATTCGAACAAAAGTATACTACATATGGCAATAAAAATGAAAGAACTCAGTAACAGGGCGAAGCTCAGAAACCAAAAGGTACATACTGTCTAATTCCACTTATGTGAAGTCCAAGAACAGACAGAATTAAAATGATGTTGGGTAGGGACAAGAACTTAGTATAAGATGATCAGAAGTAAGGTGGCAATGACCACACAGCCCGGGGGGAAGGGCACTTTTCAGAGAGATGAGTCAGCGTTTGGGAGGGTCCTGCCATTATCCAGGCTAAGGCTTGAATGGCTGTGACACAGTTCTCTCTGTGATCAATTACGGGAATGTACTGGGTACTTTTGCGTATGTGTTACTTATCACAATTTCAAAAGGCTTTACAGTGAGTAAGTTGCTATCTGAGCAAATGAATGCACCTCAACTGTATGACAGTAGAGAGACAAAATAACATATGACTACGTAAGCTCACTCCTTAACAAAAGGGGAAGAACAGTGCTGAAAGTACTGACTGTTTAAAAAAAAAAAAAAAAAAAAAACCCATGTTCAATGTCCTGGGGCTGTTTTCCTCAGGACAACCGCTACCTCTTGTTTTAAGCTCCCATGTTAGAGGGATGATGGTCTAAAACACAAGAAGAAAAAGCCCACCCAGCTTGAGATTTCATATAAATCAAAGTTTAACCATGATTTTGACTGATTCTGAGTCCAGGAAGCTAGAACCATAGAAAGCATGGTGACTTCGATTCAAAAACCCAAAGCTCAAAACATTGAGAAGACAAGTGTCATTCCAATTTGGGATGCACCACAGGCAATGCCTGTAAGGAAGTGCTCAGGGGACCCCAGGAATTCCGCATCTCACTGACATCAAACAACCAGAGGACTCTGGAGGGTCTTCCCGTATCGATCTCTGCTCCTGAGCTGGACCACAGATAATCACCTCAGCAGCACCTTCTGGAGGCACCAGGACTTCGTAAAATTTCATTTCAGTACTTAACAAGGATTACTAATGGAAAAATCTTCCTTAAATAGAACCCAAATATAGTCAGGCACAGTGGCTCATTCCTGTAATCCCAGCACTTTGGGAGGCAGACGCGGGTGGATCGTTTGAGATCAGGAATTCAAGACCATCCTGGACAACATGGTGAAACCCCGTCTCTATTGAAAATACAAAAGTAAGCTGGGCATGGTGGTATGCACCTGTGGTCCCAGCTACTCAGGAGGCTGAGGCAGGAGAATCACTCGAGCCCCGGAGGCGGAGGTTGCAGTGAGCTGAGATCATGACACTGCACTCCAGCCTGGGCAACAGAGCAAGATGTAGTGTCAAAAAAAAAGATAGATAGATAGATAGATAGACAGACAGACAGACAGACAGATAATATATACACAGACACAGACACACACACACACACACACACACACACACACATATTTGGGTAATATATATATGACCCACATTTCTTCTGATTTGGATTATCTTCATTTTTCACTTATACTACCATCAGTAGAAATGGCAAATAATTGATCTTCCTTTGTATTCTTTCAAATTGAACAGCAAGAATAGGTAAGACAAGGACAATAAAACTTCCCTCAGTAAAAGTCCTTTAAGATGCCGTACCCATTATGCCAGGCCAGGCTAACTCTTCATGATCATCCCGTTCCTTTCCTGGAGCCAGGTGGTTGAACCGATCCAGATGTTCCAACAGGCCACCCAGCAGAGGTACAGCTCCAGCCTCTTGCATGAGACCAGCATTTTTACTGAGCAGAAGCACTATAGAAACTACTAGTTCTGGAAGGAGAACACCTACATTTAAGAAATAGTAAGATTTAAATAAGTATTTATCCTATAAAAGCCATTTGTAAACTTGTTCTGTGTTTAAATTCTGCTAAGTCACAAAATAAGAAATGTTTGTCCTTCAGCATATTTCTACAGGACTATCTTACATTTTATATCGAGACCGGTATAGCTATCAAACAGAACCCTTTAAATTACAAAAATATTTTCCAAAACACTGTATTTCAATCACAGAACTATGAACTAGAGTCTCCTATTCAGAAAATTAAATGTTTATTGATATGTTCATCATCAGGAAAAAAACACTAAAAAATAATGCTCTAACCTCAAAAAGTTAAAACATACCAGGTAGTATCAGAATTTTTGAGATCCTTAATGAGGTACCTAATTTTTATTACGCTGTCAAAATAAAATTAGACAATTACCTCTGACCTCATTATTGACGTATCAATAATGGAAGTATAAATCTAAATTACCAATTATATTTAAAGTGATATGAGTCCCATACCAGCTGGCTTAACAACAGAACTGTCAATAACTAAAAAAAAAACAAAGGTGAAAGGGCAGGAGGACCAGAAAATTTAGAGAGTAAACGCAGGCAGGCTGATCAGTAAAGAAGACACTTCAGCTTTCATCTATCACCTAAAATAACCATGTACACAAGCAGGAAACAAAAGGTACCTGTAAAGTCCCCTTCCACAATGCAAGCCACCTCTGCGAAGTGCCGCCAGCTGGTAGAAGCAACGCTGGCTGCCACAGGCAGTATATCTCCAATGTGCGTGCACAGAAGGGCTGTGTACTTCTTCAGCAAGGAACCAACGCCCATTAGCTCTGGACCTTGAAGAAGGATTGAGAAATTTTCATTTTCACTATTAAAACTTTTCTCTGTAAACAAACTAACTGCTCCATGATGCTACTCTCATCTACACATCTTTTACCCATAATAATTTTCTCAAACAGGAGCCTGTTAACCCTTAGTCTTTGGGCTCTTTCTTTTTTTTTTTTTTTTGAGACGGAGTCTTGCTCAGTCACCCAGGCTGGAGTGCGGTGGCGCGATCTCGGCTCACTGCAAGCTCCGCCTCCCGGGTTCTCGCCATTCTCCTGCCTCAGCCTCCCGAGTAGCTGGGACTACAGGCGCCCGCCACCTCGCCCGGCTAGTTTTTTGTATTTTTAGTAGAGACGGGGTTTCACCGTGTTAGACAGGATGGTCTCAATCTGCTGACCTCGTGATCCGCCCGTCTCGGCCTCCCAAAGTGCTGGGATTACAGGCTTGAGCCACCACGCCCGGCCTGGGCTCTTTCTATATCATGTAACTGGAGGGGCAGTATTTTTATGTCAAGTTTTATACCCTGCACTACAGAGTACCTAGAAATTTTGGGTGTATAAATACTAAAGTCATAATTTAATTTAAGGTTTTTGTTTTGTTTTGTTTTGTTTACAGACGGGGTCTCACTATGTTGCCCAGATTGGACTCGAACCCCTGGGCTCAAGTGATCCTCCTGCGTCAGCCTCCTGAGTAGTTAGAACTATAGGCATGCACCACCATGCCCAGTTCTAAATTTTTTCAACTTTATATCTAGTACATAAATGTTTTCTAAAAGCTTGTAAATTATTCCCAGAAAACAAAGTTAAGCACTTTTCTGCTCCATAAAATCTTCAGTTTTGCCGGGCAGTGGCTCACGCCTGTAATCCCAGCACTTTGGGAGGCCGAGGCAGGTGGAACACGAGGTCAGCAGTTTGAGACCAGCCTGACCAACACAGTGAAACCCAGTCTCTACTAGAAATAAAAAATAAAAAATTAGTTGGGCATGGTGGCAGGCGCCTGTAATCCCAGCTACTTGGGAGGCTGAGGCAGGAGAATCTCTTGAAACCAGAAGGCAGAGGTTGCAGTGAGCCAAGATTGCGCCACTGCACTGTAGCCTGGCCAATGAGAGCAAAACTCCGTCTCAAAAAAAAAAAAAAATCATCTTCAGTTTTTCTGCCTACATAGTTCTTTTCAGTTTTTTTTTTTTGAGACGGAGTTCTCCTGCCTCAGCCTTCAGAGTAGCTGGGACTACAGGCACCTGCCACTACACCCAGCTAATTTTTGGTATTTTTAGTAGAGACGAGGTTTCACTATGTTGGCCAGGCTGGTCTTGAATTCCTGACCTTGTGATCCGCCCACCTGGGCCTCCCAAAGTGCTGGGATTACAGGCGTAAGCCACCGCGCCTGGCCTCCTACATGGTTCTTAATAGCTTTTCAGTCCTTGTGACTTTGTCTTTCAGATGGTCACCTCTTTCTCTTTCAAGCTATCAACTCATCTACTAAAACCTGAAAGTTTCCATTATTGACAAGAGCCTAACTCTTCAGAAAGTAATTAAGTTACTTTGGGAAAAAAAGCAGCTACAAAGATACTAACGGAAGCAGCAGACCCTTCCATCCTTGACAGAAAGTCTCATGAAGGAGGGCCAGCCGCTGCCCTGGATGCTCGAGGGGAACCATTCCCTCGACAGTGCACAGCACTGAGTACTTACACACATTCTATTCTTGATCCTCACAGGCTGCTTCAGGGATCATCCCAAGTCTGCAGGTGAGAAGTCTTTGGCCCCATCAGACTTGGTCTAATGTCTAAACTATTAAGCAGAGCTGTAACTGAAACCCAGTCTTCCTCCAACAATTCTTCCCATTCCACCCAGCTGGCTCCCACATGTGACATATGAATAGGCTGCCACTGTTTACTTCCTACATCATGCCAGTCTCCAGCATTCCATAGCACAAGGAACAAACCTGATAAATCTTCTCTAAGACTAAACTGAACTTACAGGATGCTATTACTGATGTCTAAAGAATTTAAATATTAAGACAACAAAATTAAAAATGTTAACGAGGCTAACACAGAAGGGTCTGACTCAAAAAAGTGGAGGCAAAATGAAGCCTCAAAATTGGTGCATTTAGTAGTATAACAACTACACATCTGGGCATATAGGATGGACACGTTGAACAGCCTAAATTAAGCCTCGATCACATACAAGACACTTTCACATTTTAAGCAACTTACTAGAAATATCTGAGGTCTGACCAATACTTTCTCCTGGATAAAGTTTACTAATAAGCAAACGTTGAAAACGCAGCAACAAATCCAGTGAAGCAGATCTTTCACGACTGTGTTGCTCAAAGTCCAGACATGATGAAATACGACGGGCAACATCCTTCAATCTGGCCACAGTCTGAGAAGCAATGTTTCTACACAGGAAAAAAGAGGATTACAAAATTAAACAAGTTATTTATATTTAAAAGAAAAAGGGATGGGGTAAATCATGACAAACTAACATCACAAACACAGATCATACATGAAGATGACCTGCAGCTGGCTTCCCTCCCCAAATGTGTCCGGTTTATCTGCAATAAGCACAACCTCAGCCAAAACGGAGCAGAAGGGCACGGAAGACTCAAAAGAGATAATGATGCCCTCGTGCCTCACTAACGTGCGCCTACGGAGCGGCGTGCAGTGGTCCAAACTGCAGAGGATCTTGCTTCAAAAGGAATACTTCTGTATACCCGATGTCTAAGGAATGTAAACATTAAGACAACGAAACTTAAAATCTTGAGGAGGCTAATATAGAAATATCTGACCCTCTAGAAAGAAAAAACAGTGTCATTATTTGTTGTCCAAAGCTGCATTTCAAACAGAAATGTGATACTACTCTTCAAGACAAGACTCGCCTGCGTTGCCGCATCTGCCTTGCAAGTCCACCTTGAGCCCTTACTCGCAAGCAGCACTGGGGTGGGCCATGCAGCAGGTACTCAGGGCTCAGGGAGTCCGGGAAGGAAGACCAAAGCAGGTGCCCAAAGAGCACGGCAGCAAACAAAGTAGAAGAGGCTCCAGTTCCAACACTGTGATGTGACTTGAGCCATGAGCCATTGGTAGATGAGAAGAAAAGAGAAGAAACATACGTTCCCAGAAGGTACAGTTAGGAGAGCAGTCAATGTTTCTGGTTCCTTAGCAGAACACCAAGAAACAAGGGCAGGAGAACAAGACAAGGAAGCAAGGCAGAGATGGTGCAGGTAATGGGAGTGTCAGGCTGCGGGACCAGAGTCTGCAATGCCAACCCACCAAGGTTATGAAAGGAAAATAACACTTTGTGTGTTTAAGGAAAGTAACTTCTTTTTTTTTTTTTTTGAGATGGAGTCTAGCTTTGTGGCCAGGCTGGAGTGTAGTGATACTATCTCAGCTCACCGCAACTTCTGCTTCCCGAGTTTAAGCGATTCTCCTGCCTCAGCCTCCTGAGTAGCTGGGATTACAGGCATGTGCCACCACGGCCAGCTAATTTTTGTATTTTTTTTTCTTTTGTAGTAGAGATGGGGTTTCATTATGTTACCCAGGATGGTCTCGATTTCCTGACCTTGTGATCCACCCACCTCAGCCTCCCAAAGCACTGGGATTATAGGCGTGAGTCACCGTACCCCGCCTAAGGAAAGTTAACTCTTATATCAGTGTGAAAGCAAATCTGACAGGACAGGGGAACATGGAGGGGAGAAGAGCCAAACCAGGGCCTGGTTCCAGACCCACTCCACCTGTCCCGTTGAGCCAGGAGCACAAGTGGCTCTCTGCACAACACCAAGAGCGAAGACATGCTTTCAGCTCCACTTTAACTCAGGTTCCTAATGTGACAGCAGGCTTGTCAATCCCACTTGGCCCTGTGGCTCACACGAGAAAACTACCAGCAGTGTGAGTAAGGACCGAAGCAGGAGACAGAGGAGCCAGGGTTTGGGAATCCCACAGCAACCCACAGGCCCTCATCACACACAGCAAGGATGCGCCCTCACTGGGCTCACCACACCATTCAACATCACCTTTCAGCCTCAGTACCTGATAACCTGCCTGGATAACCCCACTGTAACACAAGAAACAGGTCTAGAATCTAGCTTGTAAGCTACACCTGAAGGAGTAAAGACAGTAATAAAATACAATAAAATTTTATTTAATATAAAACTTGGAGCCATAATCACAATGTGTAATTCTGATGGGGTTCACTACTTATAAAAACTTCACAGCGCTTTATTTTGAAATGTAAATGGTATTCTGTGGCTCCTTGCCAGCATGTAACTTCACAGCTTATTTTTGGCAAGCAGTGATTTCCTCAACCCACGTTTTCCAAGGGAAAAAAGGACATGAAATGTCTCCAAAAATCTCTTCCAATCTTTAGATAAACTACTATTCAACAACTGCATCCGCCAAGTCAACACATCAAGAATCCTTCAATCACAAACACTTAGGTGAGAAAACAGAGTCTGTCCATGCAGGAGAGGGACACATTATCCACGCTTACGAAGACAGCCTGGACTATTGGCTACTGAAAAGTTGTGAATGCATTTTTCTTTTTCTACTTTCCAAAAATTTTGTGAGGTGATAACTATGTTTGTTTCTATTCTTTTTATTTTGTATTTTTTAAGTAAGTACATCCTTATTATAAATCTGCTGTAGAATCAATGACCCACACAGGACCCCATGTGCCAAAGGAACCAAAAAGTCACACACAGCGAAGATGAAGACACAGGAGACAACCTATGTGGACAGCACACAGCCACCTGCCCAGGACACCAATGGAGCCACAGGTGCAATTCAAAATGTTCTTAGTTGTATTAATAAATGTGGCCAGGTGCGGTGGCTCACACCTGTAAACCCAACACTTTTGGAGGCCAAGGCGGGCAGATTACCTGAGGATGGGAGTTCAAGACCACCCTAGCCAACATGCGGAAACTCCATCTCTACTAAAAATACAAAAATTAGTCAGGTATGGTGGCATGCACCTGACGTCCCAGCCACTTAGGAGGCTGAGGCAAGAGAATCATTAGAACCCAGGAGGCAGAGGTTGCAATGAGCTGAGATTGTGCCGCTGCACTCCAGTCCAGGCAACAGAGTGAAACTCCATCTCGGGCGGAAAAAAAAATTGTTCCTAGTCACATTAATAAAAGTAAAAAAAAAACACACACACACAAATAAAACTCATTTTAATAATGGTCAGGCACGGTGGCTCACACCTGCAATCCTAGCACTTTGGGAGGCCAAGGTGGGCAGATTACTTGAGGTCAGGAGTTCGAGACCAGCCTGGCCAACATAGTAAACTCTGTCTCCACAAAAATACAAAAATCAGCCAGGTGTGGTGGTGTACGCCTGTAGTCCCAGCTGCTGGGGAGCCTGAGGGAGGAGGATCACTTGAACCCAAGAGGCAGAGGTTGCAGTGAGCCAAGATTATGTCACTGTACTCTGGCCTAGGCAACAGAGCAAGACTCCATCTCAAAAAATAAAAATAATTTTAACAATGCATCATACTTATCCCAACAGATTGAAAATATTATCATTTCAACATGAAATCAATATAAGAAAAATTGTTGAGATATTTTACATAGGTTATTCCATAAGTCCTCAGAAACCATCGGGGTAGCTTACATATGTAGCACATTTCAATTTGGACAATGAAATTTGCATTGAAAATATCTGATCTGCATATAGACTCATAAACTATACAGTTGACGAAGTAGACTCACATGGCCAAGTTATTCTAAACATACTTAAATGCTTTCTAATAATGGAATCAAGTTTTTAAACCTGCATTTTAATTAATAAAAATTAAACAGATAAAATATTCAGTGTCTCAGCTACGATGGACACACTTCAAGTGCTGATCAGCAAACTGTGTGAGTGCGGCCAGACTGGCCAGCGCAGGCTACACGGCTGCAGCTCAAACAGCACAGCTGCAGCTCAACCAACACAGCTGCAGCTCAAACAGCACAGCTGCAGGCCAAGCAGGCCAGTCTCTCTGCACATGGAAACAGTCTGAGCAAGCAGGAGATGGGGAAAACGGGCACTGCCCTCGTGAGAACAAAGGACCCACAACAGGAACCCTGCACTCACTCCCTGCCAAAGACACCAACAGCCCATGACACAGCCTCAGAAAATGGAGAGGCATTCAAGAACCTAGAAAAGCACCTCTGAAAAATGCTCACTTTAAAACTTTGCAAGTAACTTTACATTTTAATTACGAAGTTTTTAATATCCACGTTCTCCTTTATTCTTAATGAACTCTGTGAAAGTAAACACAGCTTTTATTCTTACTCCTATAGTCACTGTGTTGGAAGTTCATCTATGCGAGCAAGCTGTTGCAACTGAAATTTTCTGAGAACAAATCCCAAGATCTTTCCATTAACACAAACTATATTAAGTTTAGTTCTCTTTACTTCCATTTGTTAAAGACCAGAATGTGTGAAATATGCATTATCAGATTAGAAAAACAAAACAAACATCAGAAAAACGTTTTTCAAAATAGCATTTACCAAAATCTATGACAGAAACTAGCTCTAAAACTTCCCATTTCAAAATTCCACGGTGCGTCCACTAACTTCGTTTTTCTGGCTGTGGAGAGCAGGGCCACCCCACGCCACAGACCCACCACGGCCCCATGACCAGGCCGGCTGAGAGCTGCGGCCACTTCCCAGGGCTCCCTGCTCTGTGCTCGGCCGCCTGATGCAACCTGCCAGTTCTTTGCTTTCTCTATGTGTAGAAACTAAAACCAGAGCCTAAGTTTACAAAAAGTAGATTTTTATTAAATAAGAGGTACAAATGTGTTTCATTTTCTAATAAATCTCTTTCACAAATCATCTTGCTTTTCCGCTCTTCTTGAGTGATCCTTTTTACACAACACTGTCTGACCGTTTTGGCTTCTGCCAAGGTTAGCCTCTGTTCACAGGCTGAGTCTGACTTCTTCCCACCTCCTTCTAGTCTGGCCTTACAAAACAATGCTCATCATTCTTTCACACTGACTTTAGTTTTGAAAAGAAAAGTTATCTTACACAGTAGTATGTATAACTCTGTAATATGTAAAGTGAGGCAATGATAGAACCAGTTTTAAAAATAACCTTCCATGATGATTTTCATTTGCATCCACCTGCTTATTACTAAGAATCTTTTCACATGTTTACTGCACACCCCAATTTCTCTTCTGTGAAAAACTTTTGAGTATCATCATACCCTCCAACTTCTCCTCTTACCTACGTTGAAAAGGGTCTGCTCTTTATCCTAACGTCTGTACTAGGTAATTTTCAGAATATTCCCTCCATCACCAAACAAATTTTTGAGATCCTTGTGTAGATTTCAAGATCTTAATATGAAAACCAATAATCACCTACTAAAATACAATACAGGTCAGGCACAGTGGCTAACACCTGTAATCCCAACACTTTCAGAGGCCAAGGCAGGAGAATCACCTAAGGTCAGGAGTTTGAGACCAGCCTGACCAATATTTTGAAACCCCGTCTCTGCTACAAATACAAAAATCAGCCAGGTGTGGTTGCGGACGCCTGTAGTCCCAGCTACTTGGGAGGCTGAGGCAGGAGAAGTGCTTGAACCCAGGAGGCAGAGGTTGCAGTGAGCCAAGATCATGACACTGCACTCCAGCCTGGGTGATAGAGTGAGACCCTGTCTCAGAAAATAAAAATTTAAAAAAATTAATAAGTAAATAAATAGGCCGGGCGTGGTGGTTCATGCCTGGGAAGCCAATGCCGGCAGATCACCTGACGTCTGGAGTTCCAGACCAGCCTGACCACCATGAAGAAACCCCATTTCTACTAAACATACAAAATTAGCCGGGTGTGGTGGCGCACGCCTGTAATCCCAGCTGCTTGAGAGGCTGAGGCAGGAGAATC